TATGATTACAACAAGAACAAGTGCTTTCATTGTTACTGGTTGCAACATAGTATGCTCTAGAGGAGTCAGAGCCAGCCGTGTGATCTTCAATCGAAATACCAGAAAAGTCTTCATCGAACCTGTGCTAACATTGGCTTACTAGATGACCAATTTTGCCACACAGTTGGCATTGAATTCTCGATCGTGTCCTGCCTCTGCCACGAGACCTACCACGCAAGTAGGACGAGTGATTCGACCGAGACTGCTGCTTTTCTTGGTTTTTTTTATGATTCAACCTCGCCTTTTCCTTGTGCAAGATTGGCACTAACAGGTAAGGAGTCAGGTTGATAATCAAAGCCTTTAAGCTGAGTTTCAGCGTCAATAAGCATTGTTCATATATTGTCGAGTGACAGAGTGTCACGCATAGCAGATATAACCGCGATAAAGGGTTGGTACTCCCTTGTGAGGCCCTTGAGAATACTCGCAATGTGCTCAGATGCTGCCACTGGGCTTCCACAAGAGTACAAGGCATCAGTGACTTCTTTCACTTTTGTGAGATAAGATCGCATGCTATCTCCTCCTTTCTTGAGGGATTGGAGCTTGTAGTGTAGGCTCATGACTGCAGTGGTAGAGCGATTGGCAAAGAATTGAAAGACCTTGTTCCATACCTGGGCAGACATTTCGGCACCAACAAATTGTGGAAAAAGATGAGGGCTAATTGTTGAAAACAGCCAAGAAGCTAATGCACTATCTTGAGCCAAGAATTCTTCATGTTCTTCATTGGCGGTTACAACACCATCATCACCAACCAATGTTTCTGGAGGTGGGAGCATCGTACCATTAAGCATTCTTTCAAGGCGATGGCTTCTTGCAGTGAGCAGAATCTGTTGTTTCCACAACAGAAAATTAGTTTCATCAAGCACGACGTTCACTCTTTTATTGGTGAAGACTTTAGTGTTCCTTGACGAGAACTCCATTGAAGTGGCTGTAGACGAGGTATTGTGATCCATGGAAAAGGAACAGCGGAAGCACACCCTAGGATATATCAGCGAATGATACCATGTTGAGAGAGCTCAACAACCGTGAGAAAGAGGATAAAGCTGGTGACAGGTAATACTCTCTTATATTTATTCTTTCAATCTTACATGACTTATATAGCTAGCAAATTACAAAGTTCAACAAGAATGTAGAGACTAACTGAACTACAACTGCTCTAACAAAATTTTAACTGCTTAACAGTAATAACCAACTGTTGTAAATACACAGACAGTGATCTGTTGCACACTGGACCAGAACGTTCCACAAACATTAGGAGAAGCTACTATGAACAAGTGGACCAGCGAATGCTAGTCACCATACTTCAACATCGCCAGGCCATACTACGCTCACTTCTGGCCGTCCTATCACTACAAGACCTTGAAATCCAACGTTGATGCTTTGAACCTGATCCAAGTCGGCCTCACCCTTCCGATTCTTCCGGCAACCTGCCCCACCTCGGATCCGCCGACGGAACTCGATTCATCTGGGAATTCAACTTCCGCGACTTCTACGTGAAGCGTGACCCTCACGCGCCTGATTCCATCGAGCTCTTGAGACGGCAGGGGATCGATTTCGACAAGAATAGGGGGAGATGGATCGACTCGGTACGGTTTGCCGAACTGATGATGTCGTCGGGACTCGTGTGCAACGACTCAATGAGCTGGGTGACTTTTCACAGCGCGTACGATTTCGGGTACTTGGTTAAGATCCTGACCAGACGAAACTTGCCCGAGAGATTAGTCGAGTTTCTGACGAAACTTTATAACAATATAACAATATATTGGTAAAAATATATTGATCCATAATAATATAACAGGTAAAAAAAATGACAAAACTGATAAAGAGCTATCAGATATATTGAAAGTGTCGATACTTTATAAAAATGTATTGATCCATAACAATATAACAAGTAAAAAATGACAAAACCGGTCTATAAATGACAAAACATGTAAAGCGCTACCGGATATTTTTTTTTAATACAAAAAGTTGGATATTTTAAGCAAAACCCAGTAAGAAAATAACCAAAACTTTGCAGTAACAAAAGAATAACATTGGGAAACCTACCATGTTATCAGTTTCTCAAAGAACAAAAACCCAGAAACAGGTAAATTTACAATGTAATCGGTAAAAATATATTGGTTAATTAGCAAATAGGTTTATATTATGTATCGATACTATTTAAATATGTGTCGATACTTTTTTTCCCAAAATAAAAGCACAACGAGATACATGCATAAAGTGTCGAACATTTAAAATTGTATCAATTCCAAATTTATCAAAACCTATAATTATAATGTGATAGGTAAATTTGCAATGTTACCGGTTTAAATATACCTGTTTAGTTAGAAAATAGATCAATATAAGCGTTATCTATTACATTATATAAGCGTTACCTAATATATTATTGTACTTGATAATATTTTCGGTTAAATGATATAACATAATTAATCTAAATTTTAACCGATCACTTATTTAACAGATCACACCATTTTTTAACCATTTTTAAACGCCGCACAGCAGAGGTTTCCGTTGTTCGGTAACAAAGTTTACGATTTGAAACATATGATGAGATTCTGCAACAACTTGTACGGTTGGTTGGACCGAGTCGCTCGGACCTTGGATGTGAATCGGGCGGTCGGGAAATGTCACCAAGCCGGGTCCAATTCTTTGCTGACATGGCACACGTTTCAGAAGATGAGAGACGTCTATTTCGTCAATGACGGACCGGAAAAGCATGCCGGCGTTTTATATGGATTGGAAGTTAATATAACAATTTGTTAATTAAATTGTACAATTGTTGAGGAATAATTAAAATTATGTTAATTCATTGATTTAATTACATAGTCTTGCAAAATTAGTCCTATAATTACAAACACATTTAGGGTAGACTACACTTTCCCATCACTCTACTTTCACAATTTTCTTGTTTTAATCATAAACTTTTAAATTTTTAAAATTTAATCATTTAAACTTTGAACTATTTTATTCTTTTATCACTCAGCAAGGCTTAAAGTAAAAATAAGTACTTTAATTATGTTTTTTTTGCTTTAGGTATTTGAACTATAGTTTAAAGTAAAAAATAAGTACCTAAATTTTGTTCTTTTTATGCTTTAGGTATTTGAACTATTGCTTAGTCAAATTAGGTACTTAAACAATTATATTTAATTATTTCAAATCCTAATATTTTTTTCAGTTAGAAAATTATTTTGACCTATAAGATGTTAATAGGTCATGCAAATTAGGTATTTTTTGATAAAAAAATATTTTAGGGGCTCAAAGCAAAAAAGGATATAACTTGGGGATTTATTTTGATCAAAAAATAGTTGAGGTACTTAAGGTGGCTACATAGAATAGTTTAAATACCTAGCTTGATCAAAAAATAATTTAGATACCTAAAACAAAAAAGGGTAAATAACAGGTTTGGTAACTGAACTTTACTCTCTCTCCTATTTCACTCATTATACTTTCAATTTTTATCAATTTACTCATTAAACTTTATAGATTGAATTTATTTTGTCGCTTCGCCGTTAAATAATTAAACGACATTGTGACATGGAAAATTACATCAAAACGACATATTTTTGAATTCCTGAAGAAAAAAAAGACTAAAACGCCGCCGCTTTGATTTAAATATTGCAATGTCATAACGTCATTAATTATTTGACGGCGGAGTGATAAAAATTCAATGAGTAAATTAAAAAAAAACTAAAAATACAATGAGTGAAATGAGAGATAGAGAGTAAAGTTCAGATACCAAACATGTAGTTTACCCAACAACAAAAAATAACATAGTGTAAGTATTTTTTTTAGTTTAAGCCAAACAGAAACAACAGGATGGCTAAAAAATAATAATGTTAAACATAGCTTAAGGGAAAAAAAAAAAGAACCAAGCTGTTTCTTTTCCCTTCCCTAGATGTTGCCACCGGCATTAACCTTTATACAAATGGATAGCTTCATTTGTACGAGTTCTTTTGAACCCTCAGTTTTCTGTGCTCTTATAATGTAGTATATGGTATTTTATTATATTCGGATTAAGGGCGCCACCATTTAACCCTGTGAGTGTGAGGGATCGTTTTGTAGAGGACAAACATGAAGTTTATTTACGTGAAATTACTGACGGTACGGATGGAATCGATCATATTCTTATATTGATCACTAAACTTTAAAAACTTTTCAATTTGATCATTCAACGTTGACGGAGTTAAATCAGAAACATCATAGTGATGTGGCCTTTTTCTACTAGTTTTCGTTATTTATATAAGCTCATCATCAGTTTCCATAATCATAAGTTGCTTTGTATTTGGTGGTAAATTAGTAAATAGGTGCAAGATCTAATATTTGATAATTTTAAGTAATTAATATTTGAAATAAACTGGCCTCAACACAAATATTACATTGTACAAAGCTGAAATAAATGAGAAAAATACAGCAATCAAAACCTCTATGATACAACGGACGCCCACAATCGTATCTCTTCATCAACTCAACACCGAAAACCTGGAATAATGTATATGTAATTAAATGTGAAAAATGCCCAACACTACCAACCCTTATGAAGAACAACCCACCAGTCTCGATTCACAGGGGGAGAAGACCAGATCTAAACGTTCAGCTGCGATACCTGCAACTTAACTCCCGAGCTAGCATCTTTCATAAATCTCGAGGCATATCATGTGGTGAAAATTGGCTTTTCTGACAAATTACAGATTTGGGATGCAACCCACCAGTCTCGATTCACAGGGGGAGAAGACCAGATCTAAACGTTCAGCTGCGATACCTGCAACTTAACTCCCGAGCTAGCATCTTTCATAAATCTCGAGGCATATCATGTGGTGAAAATTGGCTTTTAATCTGACAAATTACAGATTTGGGATGCCTGTATATACCAGAATCCCCTCCAGGTGGTTGCATGAGACCGAATGAGTCTATAGAAACAAGTGGAAGGGTCTCCTACACCCAAGCGAGAGAGCCTCGATCGTTTGTTACTTGAGGACGACCTCTAGTAGGCGTCGGACCCAAACTAGGATTGCACCAGCATTGTTAGCAGTGCCTTAAAAAACAAGCACGAATCAGAATTTAAAAGGCTAAAATGGTCTGTCGAGCTGAGACACCGTATGTGTATTAGAGCAGGGTCAAAGACACACCGCAATAATTGGTTGCTGAGAAAAGAGTGATTAAATGTCCCTGAGAAGCCATCCATAACACACTCATGAGCTCGAACAATCAACTGAGGGTCATTGTTGTTGCAGAATTCCATGACACGATCAGGCTGCAACAGGAAACACAATTTATGTAAGCAGAAAATGCAATTGCAAACCAGCATTCAATTAAATTAACCGAAGTTTTAAAGTAACACACTAACCCCAAAAGTAACCAACCCCGGACCTCTAGTATTTGGTCGCAACCCTTCCACGCTATCATTCTCTGTTGGGTCAGACGTAGGGTAGAATCGACAGTAAAATGTAATTGGTAAAGCGATGAATCCTATATTTAATCAAAATAGAAAAACAGTAACATGATCAGACCATAATAAATCCATAAGAACAATCGAGCCTGCTTCCATTGTAATTGGACGCTGCAGATTCTCAATTTGTTCCACATGATTTGTAGACCGTCAAGATGCCATGCCCATATTCCATCTCTCACCCTGTAACATAGACCATCATATTTGTGAATAACTGTTATAAACAAAAAGCAGAACGTTTTTCTATCGCATCTGATAGAATGCCATGCGCTCAATACACTCGATCCGGAAGCCAAAAAGTGCATTGATATCTGCAGCCTCATGATTCCCCCGAACTAAATGTACGTTATACTCAACCTGTTATGTTAATGAATTATATGAAAATCTCGGTTCATCTCAACTTCAATGGGAAATAAAAGTAAGCATAAGAAGATTATCAAGGCATCAAAATTCTGAATTTACCTTCAAAGCAAGCAGAAGAGTAATGGTCTCCAAGCCGATGAAACACAAAGGTGCCATACTGTAGATGCACCTTACACATAAGAAGACAACAGTAATAATAGATAGTAAAAAATGTCAGTAAAAACCCTTCAGAAAATGATAATTTTGTCACCAAATCACTTGCGCAATGTCCCCAGCCGTTGAAGGTGAACCATATTCATCAAAAAGGCGCATGAGATCCCCAAACTGTCCATTTAGATCACCAAAAATCTTAATAGGAGCCTTGAGCTGTAAAACAGTTGGTTCGACCGAAAACATTTTTTCAGCATTTTCACAGAGATCTGCAATTTCATTGCAATCTAAGAAAAGCTGTCTGCGAACTGGAGGCTTCCAACCACGAGGCTTCAAAAGATGTTCAATGACCTGGTGCAGGCACCATTGTAAATTGATGAATTAATCTTTTAAAGATTCTGAAAGATATAGCAGGAGCATCAGTGCAAGACTAATGCAATTAAATTGATAAACTTTTATCAGCTATAACTTCATTATTATATCGGTGACCAATAGAAAAACAAATCAAAGGTTCAATCCATAATAAGTATTACAAATAGATTATTAAACTGGAATATTCAAGGGGAAAAGAAGATTTTTTATGTCCAGTAAATGTAATTAAATAAAAACTAGAGAAACTTGAGGATGTATTCTTTACAAGCCACATAAAACGAATAACAGAAGCAATTTATCAGAAAAATCAATAACAAATAATATTTTTAATGCTGATGTGCTTGGCTTAAGATTGCAAGGCAATGAAATGCATCGCGAGCTTGGTAATGAAATCTGCCCTACATATAATCACAAACGAAACAATTTGCTGCTTTTGATCTTTTTCCGCTTTCCCCCTTTACTCTTTTCATAAAATTAAGCTAAGGATTAAGAAGCTTAAGGACATTTCATAATTAAGCCAAAAAATGCAATCGGTACCTTCTTTGGGACACTACTGATTGACATCTGCCTATCTGAGAGTTTCCTTGCTGCAGTTGCATTCTCTGGTGTTCCATAGCTAACCCGCCTGCCTTCATTTTCAAATTGGTCAATTGAAAGCTGTCTGACCATTCCACCTAAAGCTCCACCAGTCTCAGCAGCTACGACAATCTGTTAACATGAACATTGGACGCAAAATTATATAACAGAAAATGACAATATTGACTTGAGACCAGTGTTGTGTAGACCAAATTTTCCAATACTGACAGCTCTATGGTGAAGCCGAACTCCAGCTGGAGTAGCATTATTTGACCCAGCAGAATCAGGCATCGTAGTAGAGGTAGATGTTTGTTTTCCACAGGTGTAGCCTCTGCCCCTCGATCCCTATCTGGAAGTTCAGCTTCCCCATTAACTTGCCGTGCCTTGGCAGCAGCCAGTGTTGCACTAATAGCCTCAGCTTCAGCAGCTGATGCTTCAACCAGATACTTGAAACCTTTGCTCATCCTCCTGCAATATAAACCATGATTTTATTTTCTGGGTTTCTTTTGTGGTGCTTTATTGGTGAGAAAATTGAGGTAAAGTTCAAGAATTTATGGGGAAAAGTTGGTTGATTTGTACGGTTTGTTTTTTTATACACTGCATTTTGGGGTTTCTTCCTAGTGAAGTCTTTAATTTTTTGTATGTGTATGTAAGGCTTAATTTGTTGTTATTTTGTTAAAAGGGTATGCTTTTGTAAAGTTTGAGATTTAGCGAGGAAAGGTTAGTTGATTTTTCTGCATTTTTTGTATCTATTCTGAATTTTGGAGTTTCTTCTTTGTAAATCTTTTTAAAAATAAGATTTTTAAGGCCGCTTAATTTGCTGATATTTTATTAAAAGGGTTTCGAATTTTCCATTTTATGCATTTGATCAGTGTGGTGTATGTGTCTTCCGTGTTGATTGTATACGAACTGTTGGTTTCATTCTGTGCTAAAGATATGATTTAGTTTCATTTTCTATTTTTCTTTATCTATAGAAAACTGGGATTTGAGATTGAAATTGGATGTTTTGGTGTTTGACCTTTGTAGGGGATGGAAGATAACGATTCCGAGGCACGCTTAAACTCGGCTGCGGCTTTTGTGGAAGGGGAATCCAGGATGCTTGTGATGATGCCTGCAGTATATGCCTCGAAGCATTCTGCGAAAGCGATCCATCCACGGTATATATGACTGAGAATTTCGATTCTCGTTTGCAGATACATGAAATGTACATTTCATTGATCATTTTTCGTTGTGACACATACAGATGACTGGCTGCAAGCATGAGTTCCATCTTCAGTGCATAAATGAATGGTAGTATGACCCATATCCATTTCATCGAGTTTATTGTAGTTTATATTTGTTTCATCTTATAATTTGTATCTGCATATGTGTATAGTAGTAGCCGAATTGTTTGGTTTTGAGCTTGAATGTGGCTCAATCTTCTTTTATAGATCATTCAGTGAAATGACTTGTACGAGTAAAATACCCAATTTGACCGGACTTGTAAAACTTTGAAAATATTTACCAATGGAGTTCATCTACTTGCTTAAAAAAGGAATGATTATTACCTTAATTTGTCATTTTACTATTCTGATCTCGCAGGTGTCAGAGGAGTTCTCAATGCCCCATGTGTTGGCAGCCAATTAGCCTGAAAGATCCGACTAGGTTGATATTTCATCTATTTTTTAGTTATTATTTCATGTTCTGATTCTTTTGCCATTTATATTACATGCTAACAATTTACTCTTGCTATGGCAGCCAGGAGCTGCTTGATGCTGTCGAACGGGAAAGGAGTTTCAGGTTCAATCCCTCAAGAAATGCTACCATATTTCATCATCCGACTGTTGGGGATTTCGAACTACAACATGTTTATATTTCTTCTCATCAGCTAGCCTGATGTCTAGCATCCTCATTCTTGGATCATTAAATTGAACCCAAGCCAAATTCTTAAGAGCCATTCTCATGACAGAGCTTGAGGAGCGCATAATTTAGCATTTGGCTGCTTCTGCTGCAATGGGGCGAGCACGTCACATTTCAAGAAGGGAACCTCTGAGGAATAGGTCATCAGCTCAAGGGCGTCGTCCGCAATTCTTTGTATTTGCTCATTCAAATGAACCCTCCTCAAATGATCCTGTAGCTTCGTTATCTCCAACTCTAAGTGGAGGTGAACCTGCCCCTTCAATCGCTGTTTCACCTGCAAGAACAATGGGGGAATAATCTTCCGCATCAATTACTCCTCTACCTTCTGTCCAAGCTGATCAGCAGTCTGCCTTGGCATCTGGGTCCGGTGCTCTTTCGGTCAACAATCAATGGACTTCCTCAAACTATAGGTACACGCTATTCTCTAACTTGATTCTCCTTATTTTTCGACTTTTAGGTAGTTCTTTTTGATCAAACTCTTTAGAATACATTTTTCAGCCTTTCTTTATTTCTTATCATGATAATATCTTCTATCACTATCTTTCAGGTCTCCTAGTCCGTCTTCTCCAAATAGTCAAGATAGAGCTGGACCTTCAGAAGCTCAATCATTTCCCGAATCACTAAAATCACGGTTTAATGCCATTTCAACGAGGTATCTGTCGTATGGAGACATTTGAGATTTTAGCTACGGTGATATTTGTATATTTCCTTTTGCATGGTTTGTTATATAAGTTTGCACCCTCGTTTTGACTTATGAATCTCTTTAGATACATAGAGTCGATTTCAACGAGTACAAGGGGCTGGAAAGAAAGATTTTTCTCTCGCAACACTTCCATGGAAGATATTGGTCCTGAAGTAAGGAGAGAGGTTAATCCTGGCATTGCAACAGTCTCTCGCATGATGGAACGTCTAGAAACCCGAGATAATAGAAACAGCACTGATACTATAACAAGAACTTTCAGAGAATAGTTTTAATCCAGAACCAAATATTCACCAAACTACTACAGCTACTGTAACCAGCAGTTCTGAGAGGTTCTAATCCGGAACCAAAGGACCATCAGATATCAGATGCAAGTGGAGAAGCTCCTTTTACTGACACCAGTGCGCATGCTTCATGTGCTACGAGTTCAGCATCCAAATAAGTATCATTTCAACTATTGCATCAACTGAAAGTGTTTTAGCGTCAAAGCTAGGCTAAGGTGTTGAAATTCTGCTTGATTTTGATATCTTGTAGATGATCTTTTATCTGATATTTCATTCCTGCCTAAAGCCTACTCAAATTGACAATTGCTATGATGACTGGTTCCCTGTGGTTATCATTCTCTCTTATGAATCCAGTCGTATGATCTTAATGGCCAATACAACCCCAAAAGTCGCGTTAAAATAGATAAACTTCCGCACCATGTTAGATTACTCCGTAACATAATATATGTGTGTGTAGTGTGTACCGCCTCCGATATCGACTGAATATTGCTGTAGCATGCTAATTAAAAAGTGCTTCAACTCCCTTAAACCGTATTCATCACGTATCCATTGCTGCACTGTTCCTTTGTTCTGTCGGCGTGAGGTGCTATTTTGGCCTGGATTTTTCAGTTGTTTATTGAGGTACCGTTAGCCACACACACACACACATATCATTATCCGACTTTTATACTAAAGTCGAGTAACATAGGTGACGGTATTGAAATGTTGTAACCAAGTGTTTCTTTTCCCATGCAGAAATGTTTTCTGGTGGATGTTATCAAGTACATGGAAGAGAACAGTTGGTGACTGTGAACTGATTCAGAATAAAGTTGAGCATTTTTCTGAAATCAGGAATCAACAGGTTATGTAAATGAGTTTATAATTTTAATATAGTTGTATAATTTAAAGCCCTCTATTGCTAGCTTCTCAAGTGTTGAAGATTTGACTAATTTATTAAATACTTTGTTACTTGTTCTGCCTTTTAGATGACTGTCTCACACAATAAGTTCTACATTGAACGAAATTATAAATCAATTTAATCAAGTTGACCTGCCAAGAATGCTGAAACTATATTCATGAATGGGCTTCCCTTCAGTAGATCGGTTGGCCAACACCGACGTTAGTACTGGTTGGTGGCCAGACCACCCTCTCCCTCCCGCTTCATCTTCCATTTCCGTTTCCTCCCATCGTTCTTTCTATCCCCTCTAATCTCTCCTTTTCCTCACATCATCTATCATCATCGCTTGCCAAGCCACCTCCATCGGCCACCCTTTTCTGCCATGGGAGGACCTTATATCTCAGAACAATAAATTGTCTAAGATTTTAGGAATTCTTGAATCCATGGTGAAATAATTTGTAATTACTGCCTTTGTATGGATGGTTTTGAAGTTATGAGCTCGAGAATATTTTAGGCACTCTACAATGTGTTCCGAATTTATTCGATGTACTCAAGTCAAAAATCATAGGGGACAGCATCTCGATGCTGTGTATTTTCTACGTGAAACTATATTCATTAATGGCCTTATCAAAATGACAAAACAAAATCATTTGCCAACTGTGATAGAACTGCAGCAACTTAGTAATGTAAACAATGGTTTCACTCAAACTCGAATTCAAGGTCTCCTAAAAACAGCCACAACATCGAACCAAACATTATGTCTTTGAGATAAGTTTTTCAGACATGTCGCCATTATTAAGCAAATGGAAACCGAGCACAGGTGCCGCATTCAACAGCACTATAAGTTTTAAGATCGCCTCTGGCACTTCTTTTCCCACCATTCCATGAATTTGACTTGTGCAGCCATTGTGTCCAACCTGTAGAGTTGATGCCAGTGGTTTGCGACTTCTTGTCCGAATGTCCAACCAAACACGCCTCCTCCTAATAAAGCCAGTCCGGCACCTGAGACAAAAATCGGGTTGAGAAGCTTAGATAACTCATACCCATTTCTCATAACATTAACCAAATCAAGTTCTAACACGTAGTTTTATTAGTATAAAACTCGCAACCTAGAATTTTTTCCAAGCCTTTTCGTGTTATTGTATCCAGGAAATCAGTAGGAAGAAGCTTAAAATAACTTCCCTTTGACTCCTAATATTAGTCAAACCCAGTGTTTAAAAAGGCGCAGGCGAGGCGCGCCTGGGCGCTAAGGCAAGGCGAGGGTGAAACGCCTAATTAGGTCTAGGCGAGGCGATTTCAATGAAGGCGCAACAAGGCACGCCTAAGGCTTACTAGGCGCTGAGGCACCGAGGCGCAAAAAGGCACCCCTTTTCATTTTTTTTTCATTTTTTTGTTTTTGTTTTATTATGTTTTACGTACTAACTTATACATCAACAACAAAAAAGAAGTAAAAATGAAATGTCAGTGCAGAAAAGAGTAAAACATGGTGAGGGTGATTAGAAAAGAGAGTTTCCTGGGAGACGTATGAAAATTTGGCGTAAAATACAGATAAACGGGTGCTTTACCTATATAATTACTGTTTGTCTTGAAGTTTGAAAGAGAGAAACAAAGGGGGATGAATAAAAGCCATTTTGGTGTTAAAAAAGACAACTGATTGAGCAGACAAAATGAGAGAGAGGCATGCATGCACGAACTGAGAATCGGGGGAGGAAAAGATAGGTTTCAATGAGTTTTGTTGTATAGTAATGGGTTCTTGAGCAGCACGTTTAGCACATGGCGAAATTTGAATCCATGAGAAAGAAAGAAAAGCTTGAAAACACAATTTAGAAATACGAAAATGGAGGATTAGGGTGGATAGAAGTAGGGTTTAGGGTGTAGATGGTGTTGACAAGGAGGAACACACGTTTGTTGAGAGGTGCTGAGGTGGAGGGACAAGGAGACAAGTAAGAAGTTGATGCCAACTCATTACTAGCCTTCTATTTATTGTTTCAGTTTCTTATGTGGAATTGTGGACCAAGGGAGGAAGTGGGATTTTGCTTGGGTTCTCAAGGTTCAATGGTAGATAGAAGAAAATTGATGTTTAATACATAAAATGTTGATAATGAATACTCTGGTATTTATATTGCATGAACTGTTTCTTTTTATTATACAACTGGAAAAAACTTATATATCTTTTATTTTTAAAAAGTGCATCTCACTTTAATAAGGCTCGCTCCTTGCGCCTTGGCAATAAAACCCCTATCGCTGGTCAAACCAAGGTCTGACGCCGACTTATAATAGAAGTAAATTTGCAACATAGCATGTTCTTAGATGCACAAAAGTTATTTTTTTCTTACAAGTCTTTTCGTATTATTGTATCCAGAAAACCAGGCTAATTATATTTTCCTTCATAATTTTTCTGTCTCTCCTACTGATCTACTTTAGTTGTATTAGTATGAATCATAAGCCAGGGAACAAGCTGGACCGTGCTAGTACTAGAAGTGCTTCGAAGCCAGCAAAGAAAGATATTCGTAAGACCTAGACCGGCTACCAAAAGGACACAAAAAAGAACTTCAGTTCACAAGGACAATACCGGAAACACAAGGGATTATGACTCATTGTGAACAATGAGATCACTTATGCACTTACCATTGCCTCGTAAGCTTCTTTGGCTACCTAGGTGGAAACATTGTATATTTAATTATCGGCTTAATAATGCAATGTCTGAAAGGATCTTCCACCCATACACTCCCCTAATTCTTAAAAGGAACTGGGACTTTGAACAGTATTCAGACTGAACCAGATTTTGGCATTCCATCACTATTTTATATAACAAAAAAAGTGGCCAAAGAGAATAAGCGCATGTTACCATGTAAACTCCTCGAGTATTTCCAGGCAAGACCTGCAGTCGAGACAGCTCCAATAGCACTTCCTGCTAAGGCAATGTTTGCCGCTTCCCTAGTAGTCTTCAACTGAAAAGGCAAACAAATGAAATCATGCAATTAGAAACTTGCTACTTCAATCAAATGACAATTCCATTAGCTGCATACCTTACAGACATAATATTCGGTATTTTAACAATAACTTACGCAACAAACTTTTGAATCAATTAATAAAAACACCCCATTTTCAACAGTACTTTCAAGTTTCAATATTTTGAAATACTCTACATAAAATCACATAGAAGCCTAGAAGGACAGCACCGTGTTCCTATTAGAAAGAAAACAAAGGAAAGTTATGCAAGGAATCAACTGAAGGCACAATCTAGCAGGAATGGGAATTCTAAAACCAAAGCTACAAGCTAAAAAGCAGGGATAAGCTGAGATAATATACGAAGCTGGCTAGCTGAGATAATATACGAAGCTGTCTAGTTGAAATATATATATATGATCCAATCACAAAATGTAATACTTTTTAGTTTTACACAAATCTAGGACCATTGGATGAGTAGAAATAGAAATTGATATTAACAGTTCGATATAAGAAGATATTCGCTTAAAAAACAATGAGCTAATCTTATACTTCGATTTGCATTCATCCAACATTAATCTGTGTAAAATTTAAAAAATTATACACTGTAAAGTAGATCCTAACCCATGTATATATAAGTTAGTGCATCAAAGAAACCCAACACGAAAAAAATAACAAATTCGCTATAAGTTGAGCTAAATCAAAGAAAACCAATGAGAAAAAAAAATAAAAAATGAGGGGGGGAAGAGTGAAAGGGAAAGAAATTATTACGATGGGACCATGGACCGGATCAGAAGCGATGAACTCGTTAACATCGGATTCAGACCATGATGGAAGAGACTCTTGGCGGCTGATGAATCTTGAATAGACATCGGTATATGGAAATCGCTCAGCCCAGAATTCTTTGAATTCTCGACAGTGCTTCTTCAAGAACGAATCTGATGATGAATCGCCCATTTTCTTTCGCTGATTACTATTTTTCAAATCGTATTGATTGATCTCTCGCTTTCTCGCACTCAGATTCCTCGGCCTCCTTACTTTAAAGATGGGTGTGAGGGTTTGGATTTTGTACGATGACGGGTCAGGTCGTTTTGCTGCACTCACCAATCATATTATTATTTGTCAATTTTTCTTTTTAATCATAAATTTGTGTTGATTAATTATAGAAAACCATATCTTAACTAAATTAATTTTATATAATTAATAGTAGCTGAGGGTTAGTTTGGTTGGTATGTTTGTAATTTATATTGATTATTACATCTTAAAAATGATAGTTCAACTTGAATATCATAAGCTACAAATATCGTTTGTTCGATCAAAAATGGAATATTGAAATTAAAGCGATTCAATAAATAATCGGGATCAAAACGATCATAATGATCATTCAATCAAATGTTAAATACATATTTTAATATTATATAATTTTATGAATTTATTGAGTGACTTCACTAATAAAAAATGCTATATTTTATAAGATTCAAATATAAACAAATACATATGTAAGATATGTGTGTATTATCATAGACTAAATAATTCTGAACATATATTATATTTTAATCATCTCAAACTACTAAAATATATTATATCTTTCTATAAAGTACAGGGATCATATTCTAATAAATTAAAGTAAAATTATTAAAAAAAATTATGAAGAGAGTGATGGAATCGATAATTAACCCTAATTAAATTATTCTTTAATTATTGTTGTCTTTTATTAATTGTTATTCTTCTTTCCATGATGGAATTAGGAACATATGCCCTATTAAGTTAAAAAGTATTTGGAATGTGTTTGTTCCTTTCTTTTCCTTTTTTGCTATTTTTCTTTCCAGTCCTCGTAAAGTTATCACTTATCATTTTTAACCCCAAGAAATCTTAATTAATAATCTTTTTCAGTTAAAATTAAATTTGATTCATATCTTTTTTATAATTAACATATTTTGAGATTGTGATTGGAATTATTCAACTAAGGGTGAACGAAACTCGACTCGAATCGAAAAATTATTTTTTCCGACTCAACTTAACTAGAGAAAACTTAGAGTTGTAATTTCATAAACTCGATTCCACTCGGAAAAAAATTAAGTTCAATTCGAGTTGTAAATTACAACTAGAATAGTAAATCAAATAACTCAAAATTTTTTGTGATTAATAGATTGGTTTTGAAGTTTGAGTCAAGTCCCTCGACTATATATGATATATGTGTATTACATATAAATAAATATATATGTATTATTACATATGAATAAAACTATTGAAATTAAAATTAAATAATAGCATAATATTATAAATATTTACAATTAAATTTAAAACAAATAATCAAAAAATATACTCGGTTCGAATTTGTATATTCGACTCAAAAAAATTCAAGTTAACTTTGACTTATAAAAATAAAACTTATCAACATGAATTTTTTTAACTCGACTCGATCTAACGTATGTAAAATCAGATAATCGTTCAGGTTTTAGTCGAGTCATGTCAAGTCATGTCAAATCATATACAGGTCGTGTCAGATCAGGTCAAATCAGTTCGTGTCATTTTCATATTAATATTACTATCAAATTCAGATGGGGTTCGGATCGGGTTAATTTCAGTTCGAATTGTTGTCAGTTCAGGTAAAACGGTTCGGGTCCAAATTAGTTAAATTTCAGGTTAATTCAGGTTCATATGGAATTCAAGTCGGATCTCGTTCAAATTGGGTCACATCATTGACAGACAAAATTCACGTCGGTTCTTATCGGGTGCGAATTGACTTCAAGTCGGGTTGTTTTTGGGTTAATTAGTTTTCATTTTTCATGAACAACGAATTGCTATTTTTAATTGTATATGATTTGGAGTAAATTACAAAAAAAAATTATGAGTCGATTTTATTAAAAATATAATTTTAAGGACTAAATTGAACAAACAATAAATTACATACAAAATTTTTAAATAAATTAAACAATACGAATGTATGAGGCATAAAATCGAAATATAAATAAGTATGAGTCAATTTCATATACAAATATAATTTTAATGACTAGATTGAAGTAAATTAAAATAATATAAATAATTATGGGCCAATTTCATATACAAATATAATTTTAAGGATTAAATTGAACAGATATGAAAATACAAATTAAAATTTAAATAAATTACACAACATGTAGGGACCAAATCCAAAATAATTGTAAAATATGAAACTTGAATTAATATAAAAATGAACTGAATTGTATTTATTTTAAAAGTTGAGGGAAAATTAAATCAATTTTAATATATATATATATATATATATATATATATATGATGAATGTTATGATAATATGATAATGCATGTATATATAATGTACACTATACTTATATTATAAGTATATATATATATAATGTTATGCATACATTATAAGTATATAATATAAGTATATATATACTTATACATATGTATAATTATACCTATATATACAATTACACACACACACACACACACATATATATATATATATATATATATATATATATATATATATATATATAAGTATTTATATATAGGTATGTATATAAATATATAAATATATATAAGTATATGTATATATAAGTATATACATAAGTATATATAAGTATATATGTTTGATGTATACAAGTATATGCATAAGTATGTATATATATATATATATATATATATCTTTAAACATAAGTGACTAAAATAAAATATTTTAAAATCAATATTCACGTCTAATAATTGTGCACATTAAAGAAAGAATGGAGTATTAAAAGTAATTAGAATGTATACAATACTAAATTGCATTGAATTGAAAAATTCAAGAAAATATTTATAATTAGAACATGTCTAAAATGAAAGAAATTAAAAATCAAAATAAAAAATTTCTGATTGTTAGAGAACCATGTTTCTAATTAATCCAAAAAATCTATTGGAAACTAAAAAAAACACCAACGTTCGTCAAAAAAAAAAAACAAAATACCTATTCCCTTTTCTAAATTCCAAAAAAAAAATCAATTTTTGCTCTCCCTCTTCTAAATTTCTAAACAATCAAATTTTCCCTAAAAAAATATTTCTTTTAGAAAGTTCTCTCACAACTCATATGAATATATATATATATATATATATATATATAAAAAAGTTTATTGTTTATTTTAAATTGATGATTAAATTTAAAATTTTCATTCTCAAGTAAATTAATCTTTTATATATTTTAAAATTTTCAGTTAAATTATATTTAAATTATTAATTAATTAATACATATAAATAGATTCAACTTATAAATATTTGAATTAATTTTATATAATATAATAAAATCATGTTCAATAAATAAATTATTTAATAAAATTAATTTATTGATTATAATTAAGATTTATAATATAAGGATTATAATTAATATAGAAAGTAAATTTATTAATTTAAGTATCATAACTTAAGATTTATATTAACTTTTAAAGAGTAATCATATTAATTGTCATAATTTATTTAATTGTCAAAAAATTATCATAAATAAAAATTTGTTTTAATTTTAAAAAGTAATCATATTAATTATTATAGTTTATTATAAATTCAAAACCTCACAACTCCATCAATTGTAACTTATAAGTCAAGTAAATATTAATTCAATTTAATAATACATCTGATCATTTACAAGTTGAGTCAATTACAGATCAAGTTTATTACAGGTCAGGTTAATAACAGGTCGGGTATTATCAGTTATTTATCGTGTTAATATCAGGTTCAGTTTCATATAAGATCGGGTGCAGATCGGGTTCGGTTATCACATTATTAGGTTCAATTCGAGTTCAGGTCGTTCTCAGTTCGGGTGCAGGTCGATTGCAGGTCGTAACTTTTCAAGTCCAACTCGTATTCAGCTCAACACCAGTTTGGACTCGAATCGATTTCGAATCACCACCACCTCGAGTCATAAGCAGTTTTGACTCAGTCGATTTCAGTCAATTTTATAGGCCGTGTCATTTTTTTACATCCCTAGTTCACCCCTACACTTAACCATACAATAACTCGTTTGATTTAAAAATTTAAAAAAATTATAAATAGGTCAACCATTTAGTAAAAATATTTATTTTAGGATTTTATTAATAAACATTTTAATAGTTATTTTTGAATTTTTTTCTTAAAACAAATTAAGAGTGATAAAGTCTTCGAATTTCTGAAAAATATCAACTAAATCCTTAATTTATTTACACTTAATTAACCCCAGTGGAGGAGCCACGTATTAGTGAGGGTGGACACGTGTTCACCATGAAATTTAAATTTTCTTCGATTATTTACTTATTTTTATTGATGATGTCCACCTTGAATTTTTCCGTACCCACCCTGAAATCTGAGTTTTCTTCAATTAGTTACTTATTTTACGGATGATATCCGCTCTAAAATTTTATCTGTACTCATCCCATTTAAAAATTTTATGTTGTCAACGTATATATGTCTACTTGAAAAATATTTTTCGATCCGCCTATTTGATAAACATTAATTGTTAAATCTAATAATGTGTTTTAATCAGTTCAACGATTAAAATCAGTTAAATAATTTAAAATTGTTAATTTAAGAATTCAATTGAATGTACTGATATATTTTTTTTAATTTAAGAGGTAAAAGAATATCAATTATTCCCGACCTTATCTTTATTTACCTGTGGAATTTATTGATGAAAAAGTGCAAAGAATTCCTCTCATCTAAAATATTCTATTGTAGGCTCATGAAAATTAATACAAGTGGTTAGGATTTAAAATTTTAAATTTATAAAATTAAGTTTGAATCACATTACAACCACTTTCAATGAACAATGACTGAAAGAATCAACTTTTTATAACAAAAAAAATTCTATTGTTGCGTTGTTCTCATTTCTTTTATTGTCTAGGAACTTGACCGATTACGGAATATTTAGATGCAATACTTTGTACATGTGTACACCTTTATTTTTTTTATTAATTATATAAATATAAATATAATATTAGAAAAATCATTGAGTAGTCTCGGTAATGTAAAAATATTTATTTTTCTTAAAAAAATTTAAATTCAAACATTTGTATTATAATATATAGTGGTGTATCCACACTTAGTAAAGATGGGTACGTGTTCACTCTGAAATTAATTTTTTTTCGGTTATTTATTTATTTTATTAATTATGTCCACTATGAGATTGCTCGTGCTCACCCTGAAATCTAAGTTTTCTTCGATTGATTTATTTTACTGACAATGTTCATCCTGAAATTTTATTTGTACCCATATCATTTAAAAATTTTATATTGTTAATATATGTGTACCCAATCTGAAAAATATTTTTGGATTCGTCAATATATATATATATATATATACGTTGAGTTCGAATATTAATAAACTTGTGAAATGAGCTTACCAAACAACTCATGTAGGAATGTCTAAATTAACTCTCAATTGAACATTATAATAGTACTATAATTTATTTATTTTTATTTTTTAGTATTCTTACGATAAAAAATATTATATGTTGAAATTTGATTGAAACACGTGAATTTTCTACAAATAATATTTAAGGATAACCTGATAAGAAAATCAAAAGTCGAAGGATTAAATTGATTGAAAAGTGAAAAGAATCAAAGTCAGAATTTCACTAAAATACAAGGGCTAAAGTAAGTACCAAACCATAATATGGAACCAAGAAAATACATTATTTAAAATAGATCGTCCATTGATTTTCATAATTAATTTTATGCAGGAATGGATCGAGGAGCGGATATGCGCAGTCTCCACCTTAAAATTTTTAAATTATTATATATTTTTATTTTTTTATGTATTTTCTATTGAAAGTCTGTTTTCTTCCCCTAAAATTTTATAAGTTTAAGTTCACCCCATTAAAATTTTACAAGTTTTACTTCACCCCTAACTTAAAATCATGCATCCTCTCTGATCATATGAAATGTTTCGAAGAAAATAGACAAATTAAAAAATTTCGTTGTCATGATAAGAAAAAAAAACAATCAAATATATTTGTGATAGACTCTATCGTGATAGGTTTGAAGTCTACTAATGATAGTATACCTATTGTGACATCTTTTAAGTATGGTCGAGTAAAACTCGATTCGATTCGAAAAATAATTTTTTTGAATTGATTTGAATCAAATTGATTTTGAGTTGTAATTTTATAAACTCAACTCGATTTGAATTTTTTTAGTTCAAATTGAATTGTAAAATACAACTCAAATAACTCGAAATATTTAGTAATTAGTAGATTGATTTTTAAGTTTGAGTCTAGTCCCTAGAATTTGTATGATATATGTATTCACATATGAAAAAAATGAAGAAATATATATGTATTGCATATGGTTATAAAAAACTATTTAGATTGTAATCAAATAATATTATAAATATTTACAATTAAATTTAAACATAAACTAAAAATTTAAATCAACTACGAGCTCGAATAATTTAACAAACTTTTCGACTTGACTTGATCAAACACTCACTCCTACTTGTAAGGACATATTTATAGGCTACGGTGTTGATGCAACAATCACCTAGGAATAGATTATTGATGATGAAGAGATTAAAATTCTTGAAGGTTATATGATTAGAGGAACGATAGACAATAAATTTTCATTGATTTTTTTGATAGAGTTCATAAATATCTTAAATAACTAAACGTTTTTATTAATATCTTAGATAACTAAATGAATCGTTTCCTGACCTACATGATAGTGTCAATCGAAAAATCTACTTTTGTAAATCATTTATCTCCCTATCTATATTCGTCTCACGTTTTATGAGTTTAAAATTAACAAATCAAATTTTTTTTATAGAGATAATTACATTTTTAACGCGTATTATATTTAAAAGTTATATGGTAAAGTACACAAATGATCTTCTTACTGTAGGGTGATATTTATTGAGTAACATCAACTTTATCCAATTACATTTTAACGAGTTTTATATTTAAAAATTATAGGGTAAAGTAAACAAATGGTCTTCCTATTGTAGGATGATGTGTTATTGAGTCTCCTGACTATTATAAGTTATAAAGGGTCATTTGATTATAAGATGTTTTGTTGAGCCCATAAACTATTAAAAGTTATAAAACGATTACTCCACTAATTCATATGTTCCAAACTCATCATTTTTCGTTAAAAAAATAGAAAGTCTTCCGAGCTGGATGTTAATGTGTTGATTGTGATATTATAGTCATTTGAGATTCTCATATCATATTTTATAACATCCCAGTCAACATGTTAACATCCAACTCAGGATGCCATAAATTTTTAATGTAAAACAACGAGTTTGAACAAATGAAATAGTCAGATGAATGTTTTGTAACTTTTAATAGTCAAGGGACTCAATAAAGTAACATTATATAGTTAAAGAACCATTTTATGAATTTTAATAGTTGAAAGATTCAATAAAAAATACCCTATAACTTGGGGACCATTGTTGTACTTTATCAAAGATTATACTAATCGAAGATAAGTAAGAAATCATAGTTGAATACTGAAAATTAATGTGAATCCTATCAACTTTGTGAAGTCAGTAGTCCAGGTTCCATTCAAATCCTTGAGGACACCACTAATTGATGCGTGACTTGAGATTCTCGAGACATCACCGACAATATTTTGGCGTGAGAGAGAGAGAAAAGAAAAGATAATTTAGGTAACAATTGCGATAAAACAAAAACTATAAGGACCAATCTAATAATTGGAATAGTTCAGGGACAATTTGCTAATAAAACCAAATAGAAGTAATCAAATGAGTGCGGATGAGAGGGAATCAGATGCCTTACTGTATTGGGCCCTTTATATACACTTGTTATCCCCTTCGACATTTACCATATTCAACACAACACAACACGTCGAACACTCATCATTCCCCCCCGCGACTTTCCCTCTCCCCAAACACCTCATTTCCGAGAAAAAGAGAAGCTCAAGTTTAGGTAGCAGGAAGAAAATGGCTGATCAGCTTACTGAAGACCAGATCTCTGAGTTCAAGGAGGCCTTCAGCCTCTTCGACAAGGATGGCGATGGTCCCTTCTCTCATCTCTCTCTATATCGCTTTTATTTTCTTCTTGATGTTTTTCTTTTTAATTATGCGTTAATTATTTTTCTTTGTTCGGTTCAGCTCTGTTTTGCGGATCCTACTGTCGTTTTTTTTATATTTTATGCTTGATTTTTTCTCTCTACAAATTTGCGATCGTTTTCTTTTGTGATTCGAATTGTATGATGGATCTAGGATTACGAATTATGAATTCATGATCCTGGTTGATCTTTTTCGGTTTCATTTCTATTGCTGTGGTTCTTGATTTCTATCTCTGTAAATGTTTTTTTTCTGCTTTCAGTTCCATTATTGTTGACTTTTATAGGTCAGTTCATTGATTTTATGTATTTGACTTGCTACTGTTAGATCTTTTTTGATGCAAAAGAGACTTGCCTATATCGCCATTTCTTTTGGTATTAGCTTATGTTTGAGATTTGATTTGTAATTTAGTCATGATTGAAGAGTGAATTTCTTTTGTGTAAATTTTAAATCTTATTCGGTAAGCTTCCATTGATCTTGTATGCAAGTTACATAGATTGAATCTCCAGAAAATTTTCTGATCTATAATCCCATACATGGAAATTTTTGTTTGGTACTTACTAGAGAGTACATGAAAGTTATTGATCCAGAATGTATTAATTGATCCAGAATGTATTAGTTGATCCATGAGTTTGTTGAACTTCTATTTCCCAATGTTTCCGCATCCTTTGAGCTTTTATGAAACAATAAGTTTGATTGAATTCATTCGCGCATTGGAAAAATGCTCACAATCCGTATTCTACTGTGTTTAGTTGGCTATCATTTATGTCTGATTTTCTTACCAAATTTAGTTAGTTGTCTTGATTGTTTCATAGTCGATATAGTAGTCTTATTTCTTTGCTTTGCATATCTTTTTCGTTATCATTGTAGGTTGCATTACTACCAAAGAGCTGGGGACTGTGATGCGATCACTTGGACAGAACCCTACCGAGGCAGAACTCCAAGATATGATCAACGAAGTTGACGCTGATGGGAATGGGACCATTGATTTTCCTGAATTCCTTAACCTCATGGCAAGGAAAATGAAAGATACTGACTCAGAGGAGGAACTTAAAGAGGCTTTCAGGGTGTTTGACAAGGACCAGAATGGCTTCATATCAGCTGCTGAGCTCCGTCACGTTATGACAAATCTTGGTGAGAAGCTTACAGATGAGGAAGTCGATGAGATGATCCGTGAGGCCGATGTTGATGGTGACGGGCAGATCAACTATGATGAGTTCGTCAAAGTCATGATGGCCAAGTAAGGATCTCTCCAACCATAACCAAGATCCAAAAATGGCAAAAAAAAATGAGGAAAAAAACAGTGCAGATAAGTTTGCAAATATTTCAATTTCTCAATTTACATCTATGTTTTTTCTTGTCTCACGGTTGGTCGTCTGTTTATTGTTTGCATTATTTCATGGACCAGCTTGTTTGCTCTGTTTTTTGTTCCGAACTCCGGGTTTTCATTAGCAGTGTCATCTTTTTTTTTTTCTTACCGTTTGGCGTTTTCTTTCTATTCTTGGTGCCATGAAACTTAGAACAATTTGCAACAAGATTCCATGTTTTTGCTTATGGATGACCAATTTTTACCATATTTTAAAATTTCAGTAATATCATAGTTTTCAATAGTTTGTTTGATTTTCTTTTTCTAATACGGCATTTCTCGTTGTGTGCTATGGTTTTGTTTTGCCCGGTTCAAACTACAATCTCCATTGTTTGATCACTGATTTCATATGGTGCTTGTCTCCTTATTCTTCACCTTCCTACCGTCCGGTCTTGAACGAAGATGCTTCAGCGTGGACGATCGAAGGAACTTAAAAATTTAGGACAATTTTAAGAATATTTTAATAAACTTAAAAAGAAAGCTTTGGAGTTTTTTTTTTTTTTATAATTTTCAAAAGATGAATGTTCTATTATTTAATTACGGGTTGATAAAACCAAAGCAATGTCAAAGTTGAGTGGTCAAATTGATTTCTTTTTAAAGTGTAGTGGTCAGAACATAAATATAATAAAAAATGAGTGATATAAATTGTAGTTCACCCTTAGAAGAGCATCTAAATTTAACTAGAAGAAAGAAAACATCCTCCTTTTCTCTCTTGCTCTCTGTAATTCCCCTTCTAGTGTTGGCAAATATAGTGTGCAAATCGAATCGAAAAATGGATCAAAATCTTGGCCAACTATTATTATCCCAAAGTTGGTACATAACGCATGTGTGCATTGCATTGAATAACAACGCATCTCCCATCACCACATTCATCCTTTGCTAATATATTCTTCCAAATAACTCTATTTTTCGTTTGGTCTAATCCTGCCCTCAATCCCCGCTTTAAAAATTTTGAAATCTAGTTCCACGGGAGTTATTCAAGTATCGAATTTGCAATTATTGTCAATCCAAAACTTGAATAAATCCTTTTCTACTCCGGTTGTAGTTTATTTGACAGCTCCTTGACTTTTAATTCTACGAATTCTGTCTTTTTTTTCCTTCTTGTGTGCTTTTAAAGTCTAGTTAAATCAATAACAACGTTAACTGAAATTTAATCCTTAAATCAATATTGTGAACATTAAAATGTTGGATATTCAGAATTTAACAAAACAAAAGTTTTTTAATTTTTTTAAAATCAGACAAGTATAGTGAGAGGATAAAAATGTCAAGAGTTTGAAGAGTACAAGGACTTCAGGCATAATTAAACCGTTTAATCTTATTACCTGGTTTTTATCTTACCTAATCTAACTACAATCGGGAACCCCTTTGGTTGTTTTGACAGGAGGAGAGAGAGGACAACGTCATATGTGCCCGGCAATAATCGTAGCCAAAAGCCAAAGAAAGAAACGAAATCAAAAGATGGGAAACGACGTCGTAAACGTGATTGTGTTTTCCTCTAGATCTATCATATATTATATATGAAATGTGTATTTCATAAAAAAAAAAAAAAGGAATATGTTGTCTTATTTAGTGCAAGTATGTGTTTGCCAATTATGGGGTTTCATTAATGATAGTTACGCAATTATGTCATTAGTTTTAGTTAAAGACGAGAATTACCTGAATACTGATTTCATCATGTTATAATCTAATTAGTGGGATATTAATAGTTTAAGTTTTTTTTTTCATTCTTTTATATTATATTTTTTCAAATCGTTTTCTTGATCATCGTTATCTAACATCTTATATATATTTTTATAATTGTTATTCTATTGTTCTACAATTTTTATTTTTTAATTTTTTTTTAAATCACATAATTTAAATAAGTTTAATAATTTTAGGGTTAAGGTTTTGTTGCATTGTTTATTTGAAAATTCTAGAAGTACAAAGTATTTATTTAAAAAAAAGGAAAATTAATCTCGTTGAGGAGATCGAATAGAAGAAAAATTGAAGTTTTTACTTGCTTTTTATTGATTTTTGAGAAAAATTAACTCGAAAATAAAAAAAATAAGAAAAAACATAATATTTCACTGCAAAAGATGATTGGTGACATAAAAAGGGACAGAGAGGGGGAGAAAAAACAACCACCACATCATTACATGTTGATAAATTAATGGTTTGATGATTAAGAGAACAATTCAGAAACATGAATGTCTAAATTTTAACTTCTTTATTGTTTATCTTTTTGGTGTACATATATATACTTCTTTTAACATGAGTCCGCGTGGGATGTACTGATTTTATCACAGTTCTAAAATCACACATCATAAATAAAAATTAAAATGATTTTTTTAATCAAGAACTAGTACAGACAAAAGAATTCAGAGTCCTATTTAAACACAATTAACAAGTTCAGGGACTAAAAGCTGGTTTATTCCAATAATATTCCTAAATTTTTAAAAAAATGTAAATTAAATAAATATCCATAAGAGAAATTCGTTAATTTATTAGTTACAAACTTACAATTTACAAACCTACCGCACAAGGGTAGGTTGTCTGTTCTATTTCCCCTCGATAGAACTTTACCAGTCTCTCTCAGGTAAATTCTATTCTCTTCATTTTTGTTTGTTTGTTTGTTTGTTTTTTTACTTTACATCTACCCCTAATTTGATAGAGATTTACGATTTTCGAAGTTAGCGGATTTGATTGTTCAGTTGCGGACGAAATTAATTTGATAGAAATTTGAATTTATTTTTATTTTGGTTGGAATCTGTGTTTGAATTTTTGAAGTTATATACATTTGGCTGCATAACATAGCTGTTTTTATCTCTTTACATTTTTTTAATAATTCCAGTTGATCCGGATGCTGATATTGTTGTCTGGTAAAGAATTAAATGGTTTGGAAGAGTAAGGTTAATCAACTAGGAGGATTTAATCCTTTATTTTGATTTTCCCCAATGTAGTGTGGTAATTAGGTACAGCGAAATGATGAGGCTGCAAACCTATACCGGTCTCAGCTTAGTAGCGATGCTAGCTGTTATTTATCATGCATTCGACAGTAGAGGCCAGTTTTATCCTGCTATGGTGTATTTATCAACCTCTAAGATCAGCTTGCTGCTTGTTCTCAACATGGGCCTTGTCTTTATGTGCATTTTATGGCAATTAACCAAACGGATATTCCTCGGGTCCCTTCGTGAGGCCGAGGTCGAGCGGTTGAACGAGCAGTCGTGGAGGGAGGTCATGGAGATCCTCTTTGCAATCACTATTTTTCGGCAGGACTTCTCCGTTTCATTCCTCGGGATGGTTACCGCTCTCTTGTTAATCAAGGCTTTGCATTGATTGGAACAGAAAAGGGTTGAGTACATCGAGACAACGCCTTCCGTTCCTATGTTGTCTCATGTTCGGATTGTTTCTTTTCTGGGTTTCCTCCTCCTTCTATATTGTCTGTTTTTGTCCAGCTCTCAAGGTTTTGATCCAAACTCGAGAAGCTTCAGTCTCCCTATTCTTTGCATTTGAGTAAGTTTTTAACCTGGCACATTTTCTTCTGTTGTGATTAATGATTATCGATTGAACTGTTTCTAAATGCATTTCTTCTAAGTATATTTTGGGGGCAATTATTCAAAACTTTTTTTGTATTTAAAATTTAAATTGTCCGGAGAATTTTAGGTTTAATGTAATGGATTGGCAAGGATGAACATGATACATGTAGTCATAGTTCCTCATTTTTTTTACTAAGGTCCTGATGACTATGCATAGGGATCTCTTATTTTGGAGCATGATTAAGGATTGCAAAATTATTCTCGTTCTGGACTGCTAGACTAGAAAGAATCGAGAAAGAAACTCTTTAAATTTGTCATATATGTTGAAAATCCAAATAATTTTTGCTTCACAGTAGTTTGCATAATATGACTAGTTTTGATTCCTCCCCTTGTTTCTTTCCAAATGCTCTGTTCATTCACATGTATCATTGTTCTTTATCTGTTTCAGCTGCACTAGCGAGTTATGGATATTTATTTTTCCAGTTTATCTAATTTCACTCTGGACTAATGTTGAATTCTTTGGGTCCAGGTACATGATATTGGCAATGACTATAGTGTCGACTTTTATAAAATATTGTTTCTACGTGAGTGTCATGCTTATGGAAGGACAATGGGAGAAAAAACCTGTCTATACCTTCTACTTGGAGCTCATCCGGGACTTGCTTTACTTGTCTATGTATTTATGCTTCTTTCTTGTAATTTTCATGAAGTAAACCTTTTCCTTTTAGTTTCTGCACGATTGCATATATGTTTATTTTATTTATGTGCATAAATAATTTGTCTGTTGGATAATGTTTTAATGCATGAGGTTCTCTGAAGCATTTTAGTTAGAATGCTACACTTTATGTTAGGAATTTTAATCAAGCTTCAGATCCCATTCAGTTGTCCTGATATCTATGTTTTAAAGTTGAAGGATCCCATCCCATTCACATTGATCAATGATATGCTTGTGAATATGTGTGTATAATGTAAATATGTCAACCTAAGCTCAAATCTTGGTGTATAATGTAAATATGTGTGTGTGTATATATATATCCTATAGATTGATCAATGACGTGGTTGTGAATTTTTAATTTGTTTCTGCAGGAACTATGGTGTACCTCTACACTTAATACGGGAGCTATATGAAACCTTTTGGAATTTCAAAATTCATGTGGCTGACTACTTGCGTTATAGGAAGATCACTTCAAATATGAATGATAGATACCCAGATGCTACTCTTGAAGAGCTTGCTTCGTGAGTGAAATATTATTTGTTTATGAACTCAATTTTATATTTTTAGGAATCTTTTAATTGCATGTTAAATTCTGGATTCTTAATTGCTTACCGATCTGATGGCCAGAAATGATGCAACATGTATCATATGCCGGGAAGAGATGACCACAGTAAGAAGTTAGTTTGTGGACATCTTTTTCATGTGCACTGTCTTCGATCATGGCTGGAGAGACAGCATACCTGCCCTACATGTAGAGCTCTGGTTTTGCCACCTGAAAATGGAACAAGTTCATCTGGAGGGCAACATGGACCATGGTCAGATGCTCAAGGACAGGGTAACCTCATTGTAACATCATCTCTAATAAGATGAGCTCTTTCTTTGAGGATTTTGATTTTTTTCGATAAATTTTAACTGTTGTATGCCACATGTTAGTTCTGCTTTCTGGTTTTTGAGAT